ACACACTCAGGACACACACACTCAGGACACACACTCAGACACACACTCAGGACACACACACTCAGGACACACTCAGGACACACACACTCAGGACACACACTCAGGACACACACTCAGGACACACACTCAGGACACACACTCAGGACACACACTCAGGACACACACACTCAGGACACACACTCAGGATCAGGACACACACTCAGGACACACACTCAGGACACACACACTCAGGACACACACACTCAGGACTCAGGACACACACTCAGGACACACACTCAGGACACACACACTCAGGACACACACTCAGGACACACACACTCAGGACACACACTCAGGACACACACACTCACTACACACACACTCAGGACACACACTCAAGACACACACTCAGGACACACACACTCAGGACACACACACTCAGGACACACACACACACTCAGGACACACACACTCAAGACACACACTCAGGACACACACACTCAGGACACACACTCAGGACACACACACTCAGGACACACACTCAGGACACACACACTCAGGACACACACTCAGGACACACACACTCAGGACACACACACTCAGGACACACACTCAGGACACACACACTCAGGATACACACACACTCAGGACACACACACTCAAGACACACACTCAGGACACACACTCAGGACACACACACTCAGGACACACACACTCAGGACACACTCAGGACACACACACTCAGGACACACACACTCAGGACACACACTCAGGACACACACACAACACACACACAACACGCATACACACACACAACACACACATACACAACACACACACACACAACACACACAACACACACACACACACACAACACACACACACACACACACACACACACACACACACACACACACAACACACACACACTCAGGACACACACTTTCATTTGTTTACTTTGTAAAACTTAATACATTTTTTATTTTTGCAGAAAAATGGAGAATTCTGGTGCAGGACCAGGGTCTGGACCCAGAGCTGAACCAGGACTAAACCAGGACTATATCAGGTCTAAAGCAGGTCCTGCTCCCAGCGGCGTCTCTCTGAGCAGTAACACGTCCAAAGGCTTGGGCATGGACTTTAAAAAAGTCCAAAGTGGAGGCTGTGCACAGCTCAGGTCAGTGTCACACAGCTCAGGTCAGTGTCACACAGCTCAGGTCAGTGTCACACAGCTCAGGTCAGTATCACACAGTTCAGGTCAGTGTCACACAGCTCAAGTCCGTGTCACACAGCTCAGGTCAGTATCACACAGTTCAGGTCAGTATCACACAGCTCAGGTCAGTGTCACACAGATCCTGAGTCTGACCAAAGACTGAATATAGAGTCTGACTTGACACACACTCAAGACACACACACTCAAGACACACACACTCAAGACACACACACTCAAGACACACACACTCAGGACACACACACTCAGGACACACACACTCAGGACACACACACTCAGGACACACCACTCACAGACACACACACTCAGGACACACACACTCAGGACACACACACTCAGGACACACACACTCAGGACACACACTCAGGACTCAACACACTCAGACACACACACTCAAGACACACACACACACACTCAGGACACACACACACACACTCAGGACACACACACACACACTCAGGACACACTCAGGACACACACTCAGGACACACACACTCAGGACACACACTCAGGACACACACACTCAGGACACACACGGACACACACTCAGGACACACACACTCAGGACACACACACTCAGGACACACACACTCAGGACACACACACTCACACACTCAGGACACACACTCAGGACACACACTCAGGACACACACACACACACACTCAGGACACACACACACACACTCAGGACACACACACTCAGGACACACACACTCAGGACACACACACTCAGGACACACACTCAGGACACACACTCACACACACTCAGGACACACACTCAGGACACACACACACACTCAGGACACACACACTCAGGACACACACTCAAGACACACACTCAGACACACACAGGACACACTCAAGACACACACTCAGGACACACTCAAGACACACACACACACACTCAGGAACACACTCAAGACACACACTCAGGACACACACACTCAGGACACACTCAAGACACACACTCAGGACACACACACTCAGGACACACACTCAGGACACACACACTCAGGCACACACACACACACTCAGGTGACACACACCAGGACACACTCAGGACACACACACACACTCAGGACACACACTCAGGACACACACACTCAGACACACACTCACACAGACACACACACTCAGGACACACACTCAGGACAAGACACACACTCAGGACACACTTAGGACACACACTCAGGACACACACACTCAGGACACACACTCAGGACACACACTCAAGACACACACTCAGGACACACTCAGGACACACACACTCAGGACACACACACTCACGACACACACACACTCAGGACACACACTCAGGACACACACACTCAGGACACACACTCAGGACAACACAACTCAACACACTCAGGACACACACTCAGGACACACACACACTCAGGACACACACTCAGGACACACACTCAGGACACACACACTCAAGGACACACACTCAGGACACACACACACACTCAGGACACACACTCAGGACACACACGCTCAGGACACACACTCAGGACACACACACTCACTACACACACACTCAGGACACACTCAGGACACAAACTCAAGACACACACTCAGGACACACACACTCAGGACACACACAACACACACTCACACACCACTCAGGACACAACACACACACACTCAGGACACACACACTCAGGACACACACTCAGGACACACACACTCAGGACACACACTCAGGACACACACACACACTCAGACACACACTCAGGACACACACACTCAGGACACACTCAGGACACACTCAGGACACACACACACACACTCAGGACACACACACTCAGGACACACACACTCAGGACACACACTCAGGACACACAGGACACACAGGACACACACACTCAGGACACACACACTCAGGACACACACACTCAAGACACACACTCAGGACACACACTCAGGACACAGGACACACACACTCAGGACACACACACTCAGGACACACACACTCAGGACACACACTCAGGACACACACACTCAGGACACACTCAGGACACACACTCAGGACACACACTCAGGACACACACTCAGGACACACACACTCAGGACACAACACACTCAGACACACACTCAGGACACACACACTCAAGAACACACACTCAGGACACACACTCACACACACTCAGGACACACACACTCAGGACACACACACACTCTCACACACACTCAGGCACAACACACTCAAGACACACACTCAGGACACACACACTCACACACACTCAGGACCACTCAGGACACACTCACTCAGGACACCACACTCACGACACTCACACACACACACTCAGACACACACTCAGGACACACACTCAGGACACACACTCACACACACACTCACACACACCACACTCAGGACACACACACACACACACAGACACACACACACTCAGGACA